TATTATTAATTTTGATTAAAACACTTGTGCCTTCATGGCAAAACAAGTTATAAGTTCAATAAGTTCAATTTAGGCAAAATGAGGTAAGTGCATATTCCAGTAAGTCTTTAGGCCTGACAGACTTGGCATAATTGATTAAGTCGTGAAGGAAAATTTACTTATAAACGCAATTTGGCGTTTTAGACATCTCGAAAATAATCCTACATGTATTAGCATTTGTTTCGTTGGTAGCAAGTGAATTAGAGCAGCTTTCTTACCTGTAAAATAAATTTGTTTTGAAAACAACTCACCTTATCCCATTTTGCCGCTTAGAAAATCGTAGATTGCATGAATAATAGCATAATCGTTACGATAATAGGCGATTGCTCTAAATTTGGTTAAAAAAGGAGATAAGAATGATAAGTAACAAAAATCAAAATATAATTATATAAACAGTACGGACCTCATAGCCTTAAAATACGGAGGAATTTGGATTGAAATGACTGAATGCGATATGGTACTGTCTTTTCTTGTTCTGGAGCGTAATTTCGATAATTTTGTATATCTTTTTACAATTAGCACATCTCAGTCATGTGGGTTTGTTCCAGTTTGACCTTTTAACGGTGCAATTTTAACTAACGTACGTGGTGAGTCGATGGTATAATATTATTTTTGAGGAAACCTAGAAGGGATTTTATTGTTTAAAAAGAAAATTATATGGTGGGATTTGTTATATGATTGTCCTTGATTCTCCCAGTGCGAAGACACGGCTTCACCAGGCAGTGGAATGTTGCTGGAGAGAGCGGGAGACTATGGAAGGATCAGGGTTAGGAGTGAAGATACTGTTTCATGAATACAAAGGTTGAGGTTATAAATACGGAAGGTCAGCAGTGTATAGTGTATACTTCCTAGGGTTATACTTCGATTGGAAAAATAGTAGATGTAGTAAAACCTTGGCTATATGAATGTAACCATTGCGGCGAACCCAGTCACATGCTTGGGTCCAAGATGACCCGCGCTGTACTGCTTCAACTTAAGAGTGGTAGCGGTATCTACAACGCGATGGGTTTAGTGTATGGCGGATTGTTAGTAACGAAAGCCGAACTGGTGATCAGGAATATGGTTTGCACTTTGATGAGAAAAATTTCTCGAATACTTTTCCAAGGATGGGAAGCTGAAAGATGGAAGGGAACATATTATGTTTCCCACTGGGGTCGCAATGTCATTGAGGTGAGTGGTGCGCACCTTGCACATTGGCCTTATCAAACGTTTATATTCTGAAGTTAGGAGCGACTCACCTCCGCTCACGGAAAATCTGCTTATTCCGTGAGGTTCGGTGTAGAAGCCCGCAAATCCACAAACTAATCAGACATGCTGACTTCTGCCCCTACCGAGGGGGTGGGTTAACATCATGCACTCAACCGTGTGCCGCGCGTAAAGGGATACCAAAAAAAATGTAATATGTACCAACAAGGGTATCGATTTATATAAGCCCAAGTCTGCACATAAATGTGCATACATACATCCGTGTACAGTGTTGAACCTATCACTTCTCGCAGTCGGCTGGAAATTCCATTTTTTATGCAATTATCATAAATTACCGGCAGCCTTCGAGATCCACCTAGGATGTTGGCAGTCTAGAGACAGATCCGATATTACATGAAAACCACTCTCCTATTATTAAGTGAATTTTCGTTTTGAAACACCTGCCGATAAAAAATAATGTGTGAGCACCCTTTCCAATATCAGACGTCTTATCCAGCCCCCAACGCAATCAGTTCAAACCAATTCACTCTTAAATATATTTGTGTGGTGATTAGTGACCGTTAATCGATATTTATTTAGAAATCGTGAGATGCGGTCCGGTGTGATGTAGGTTTCAGAAAAACATTTTCTTTATCGTGCCAACGTTTCGATCTTTATTGAGATCATCTTCAGGGATCAAAGTGTTTGTCTTCTGTGTAATTGNGACAAACACTTTGAGCCCTGAAGATGATCTCAATAAAGATCGAAACGTTGGCACGATAAAGAAAATGTTTTTCTGAAACCTACATCACACCAGACCGCATTTCACGATTTCTAAATAAATCCTTAAATACAATTTTTCGTAAATAATATATACCATTCACTCAGTTAGGGTGGTGGAGTACTTGATATCTTTCCATAACCCTTGACACTATCATATAATTGATGGTAGATGGGACACTGATATTCACCATCAGCCTTCGAACACTACATAGTCGCGCTAATAAATTCATTCACTTGGACTAGTCTGATGTTATAAGTAAATGTGTTTACATTTTGACTACTTTAGTTCCTGAAACATAAAGCCTTCTTTACTTATATGCTTCGATAAATCTTGTTACGAAATAATGTTGAATAAGGAAATAATAAACGTTTTTATTTAGAGGCAAATTGTATCGGACGAGTTTTGTAGTTTTGTTAAAAATTTCATTTCTATTATTCTCCTTATTTAATTTTTCCATAAAAATTATGTTTGAAGGGGTTAATATTTTATAATGAAACATTCCGAAAACACTGACGCTAAGTATATAAAGCCTTTCAAAAACGTCACACCAAAGCGTCGGATTAATTTTACCTTTCATTGGCTCGAATCCAATTCAAAGTTTAGGATTTCGGCACGTTTCGAAAAATCCCTAAAAGCCGAGTAACTTGATCCCAGGGCAGTCTGGATGGATTTGGCCTCCATCGAACTCCTTGGGTGTCTTGAACGAGAGTATCATTGTTGGAAAAGACTAATACAACGATATCAACTGATATGAATAGTTTTAAAACTATTCGTCTGAGGTCAATACATTAACACAAAGAAATAATTAAAGTATTACATGAAAACCACTGTCCTATTATTAAGTGAATTTTCGTTTTGACACACCTGCCGATAAAAAATAATGTGTGAGCACCCTTTCCATCTCACAAGAAGGAAAATGGTGGGGGCTCTCGTACCCATGGCTACACAAGCCCCTCTCAGTTATCTTCAGTCCCCTGTGTGCTTCAAATTTACTCACGTGTTTATAAAATTTAATATATGTGTCAGTGTTACTGGTTAAATTTTGAATTTTTGTTTTTGTAATTTCCCTTTAAACCCAAATTTAAAAGATTATCTCGAATCGTTTGGTGAAAGAAACTCACCTGTTTTCCATGTGTGTATTTAGGAAAGCGAATATTTTTGTATGTTGAACAGGAAGTACCTTCAATTTAGATGTACACTCACACACGGTATGTATCAGTAACTCTGTTTTCCTGGTTTAAGTGGTCCAAGTTGGCTTAAAGCTTTATTGTAAAAGTTAAAGTGTTTTGTTTGTAAAGTTAAAAAAATCGCCTTATAGGCTTGAGTATAAAGACAAAATTAAGAAGTGTTTGATATTAATTTTTTAATTAAAACCTTTTCAGTTACATATTTCAATTACTTAATAAAACAAATCGTCAATTACAAAAGCTTTGCGGAAAAAGTTTGTTTTATATTCTTTCTCCCCCTCTATATTAAAGATCACAAGCAAAGCTGATGTATTTAATCCAAAATATCAAAATAAATGTAACAATATAAAGTATTTAACGTAATACTTAATTTAGCTTTTTAATTTCCCTCTTTTAATTAATTATTCAATATTTTTAAAAATCTGATTTTACTCTTCAGGACAATTACTCGTACGTGTTTTGCTGTTAATTTATTTGTATTATATTATTTAGTAAACTTTTTGTAGTTATAATGTTTTGGCCAATATTGTGATTATCCTTAAGAACGTGTATCATATATAAAAATACCTTTACAAAATTTCTGCTGCGGATGTTGAACAAAGAACCTTTTTTCCAAGGAGTCTTCCTACTGTTATGAATTATTTATTTATATTTTAACTAATCAATTGAGAAATTTCAGTTTATTAACAGCGGTTCCGTGCCATTTTTCAGCATGAAATATCACTGCAGTGGACTGGCAGATTGTTCCAGTCGATCGCCCATCTTCTGCTCTCAGGCCTGTAAAGCACGCCCCGCTGAACTCTAGTTCTGCACCTATCCGTCCGGGAAATTGCTACACTCCGTCTTTATTTTTGGTTAAATATATTTAAGTCAGACAGTAAAATAATTTTTGTTGTTGTTGTGATCACGGTTTTCAACATAGCGATGCTCGGGATAAAAGTAATGTAGAACTTTTCGACTAAAAATAAACCGATAGTAATTTGGCAAGACTGCGTCGGTAAATCTTCCTGCGATATGGGACCACATGTGCGGCCATAAAATGTTATCACGGATTGTTTGATTCCGACACCTTTTTGTAAACTTTTTGAAATTTTTCTCTAACTTATCTCATCTTCTAACATCAAAAACTATTCAATTAATAAAGGAATTATATAAGAGTAATATATATTTTCTTACGTTTAAATATAAAATCATTTTAAAATCAAAATCGACGGCTGAAATATAAAATATCCACTCAAAACAAAAAAGAAAACTTCAACTCTGATTATATATGCAATCAGATAAAAATTAAAATTAACTAATACAAAATTTATTTTCGCAGTTAGAAAAACAAATATCATAAAGTTCAGGCTAAACCAATGTATTGATTTTATCTCCCTTTTCTTTGCCAAAAAAAAAAAAAAATTGTTCAATTGGGAGTTAGAATCCATTTTCTGTCAAGTAATTCTTCTGATCAGTCAATATTTTAAAAACTAAGTTTTATATTTAAACCTAACCGACTTTGAAACTTCAATAAAAACAATTGAACATAACATTAAAAAAAGACATCAGTCTTCCGTAGGCCATAAATTTTACAAGGTCTGTCCAAAAATCATGAAATATGATCGATTGGGTCTCGATAGTCCGTCATTCTCGCCGGAGGTTCTCCAACTACATGTACGGCGAACCGAACAAAGTCAGAAAGGGTCAGAGGGCGAAGAAAGAGGCCGGGATCTGCCCTGCGGCCTGCCTTTGCTGGGCCGTACAGGTATCCGGTGACCGTCCAGCTGTATGCTAGGTGTAAACGTATTTTTCTTCTGTTTCAGAAGGGGCGCTACTCCGATGACATATTGGAGTCGATGCCGGTTAAAGAGCTCGAGGATAAATCACCAAGGATAATCCAAGAACCACCCGTCCACCTGAACCATTCGCCGTTGCTCAACAACAAGGTGAGATATAGCAGTTTCTTTTTACATATAACAAACTCCGTTGTAAATTATCGAAATCTGTTATCATTTTAAGGGGAGTGTATATTCTAGATGTTTATTGTGAGATTTATTCTTGAGGTCAGCCATGACTCATTTCCTACAATTTAGCTCTGCCTATCTTAGCTATTTGGGCCTGACAAATGCGTTTATGCTTTTTTCCATGCCCAATGATAGGCATGTTTGATTTATTGTTTAGGCAGATCCTCTTTAAATCCGTCTTGAAATTTAAAAATATCGTGGTTTATCTTCGTGTGTAGGCGTCTTAGACGGATTAAGTCTAGGTTTTTGGGTTTTCTCGTTAATCATCCGTCGGTTTATTTTTCTTTTAATTTGTCTCCTGTTTTAAATGGTGTAAATAATGTGTGTAAGTTGTTTGCACGTTTCATGGTTTTCTTGTATATCCATTTTTCACCATTTGTACGCCATGGAGTGAATTGTAAGCTTTGCCTGTTGTTTTTGAGTGTTATATGGTTATAATTTTCCGCCGTAGCCCGTAAATAAGCTTATATATTTTTTGTATCTATCTTTTATTTTTCTATTTGTCTAACGTATTTTTCTCCGCAATCGCAATTTGTATTTTTATCTAGTGGCTTTGTCTTGTCGATGTTTTGTCTCAGAAGAGCTGATCAATTGCTTTTTGTCTTAGTGAAGTTTTATGCAACATTTGTTATATAGTTAAATTCACTAATTTCGTGCTTCGCTTGACCAATTAGTATATTACAATTAATTAAGGTTTTTAGTTGAGATGAAAAAGTCGTTGGCACCAACGGGATTCGAACCCACGATCTTCGGCTAGATACGCCGCTGCTCTACCACTTGTGCTATCATGACCTCGATCCAGTCTGACACCAACTTCCCATCTCAACCACACCTTTTGAATTTCCCTCCTTTTTGCCATTTTTCATTCGAATCCCACTCGTGCCATTGACTTTTTTTATCTCAACTAAAAACCTTAATTAATTGAAAGATATTAATTTGTCAAGCGGACCACGAAATTAGTGGATTTAATGAATTTAAATGAAGTATACTTCACTAAAGCTCTTCGTGGCCATTTCAATTGTCGTCGAGAATCCAAACCGATTACACGACATTTGAAAAAGGAGGGGAAACTCATAAGGTGGGGTTGCGATAGGAAGTTGATGTCCGAGTGGATCGAGTTCACGATAGCTCAAGTGGTCGAGCAGCGGCGTATCTAGCCGAAGATCGTGGGTTCGAATCCCGCTCGTGCCATTGACTTTTTTATCTCAACTAAAAACCTGAATTTATTTGTTAAATAGATTGAAGTTATTTTTTACGACTCATGTGTCTTATCTATTTTTTGGGGGTTAGGATTTGTGAAAGTGGCCCTTTTAATGTTTATTTTTGAATCTTCGTTTTGTTTTTGTGTTTGTATTTGGTTAACTAGGTTCATGCTGCTCAGTGCTACATCATGTTTTGCACTTTTTTTTCGAACCTTTTTGTTTTGTTTGGTCGCCATCTATTTAGATACGGTAAATGTGGGTCAACTTGTCAACTTTTCTGTATATATATCGTACTGGAGGTGATTGTATAATGTATGTAAAGATTATATCAAGAAAGTTTTACTTTTGGTGTCATCTTTTATACTTTTATGTATGGAGTTGAGGTTTGTTGTGTATGATGTTATTTAATATTAATTCTGGCATGTCATCATCAAGAAACTCTGAATTTTCGTCTGAATGAGGTAGACTTCTCCGTTTATAGCCTTCAAAAATATGTTTTTATGTCAGAACCTCAGGTGTGTTTGTATTTTTTTTTTAATTTTGATATCTTCGTTATTCTTTAAGGAAAGTATTTCTTTTCAAAGTTTATGAAGAAACGAGGTATTCGTAGTGTGCAGGAATGGTCATAGTTATCAGGTCCATACTCTTGCTGACGGCAGCAAAATCTCACAATTTTACAGAAAAAATGAAAATGGTGTTTTCGTGAATCATACCGAGGGAATTTCTTCCCCAACCATACAGTCCATAAGGTAGTCGTTATAATTGAACTATTTTATTTTCATGCCTTATTATCTGCTTAACAAGTGGTATTTTTCAGTCGTTAATAAAATAAACCCCAGCTTTTGACGGTATAGTTTTCTCTCGTTTTTACCTTTGAGAAGAAGGTTCTGGTAGACTCATCTCAATTCTGACCCGAAATGGCTTTATTGCCATAGAAATACGTGATAAATGTTCTTATCTTTCTCGTAAATTTAATCGAACTTGGCATCTGGAATTTAATCGAAATGTGTGATAATCATTTATCGATAGTCGTCAATATTCCTGTTCCTCCAGACGCCATTTGAAGTCAAGCAGAGCACAATTTCTCAAAATTTCGGCGTTTAGTTGTATCAAAACATGTCCAGCAAAACCTTCGAAATATTTGAAATTATGAAGAATGCAGTTTTAGGATGTACACAACAGCTATTTATCAATTCAAATCAATTCAAAATAGAAGTAGCGAAAAATGCGCATTAGCATTATTCCAAGATCCGTTTAAACCTGTTAATCCTGAGGAGTTATATGTATAGTGTATTCATTAATCTGAATTGTGCAGTAAAATTGGTCTAAATTAAAACCCTTTGATGGGATGCTTAGGTGAAGATACGACTTAATTACGCGAAAGTACCGACTTTTTTATTTTATGTTTTAATTTAGGCGATCGTATCTTTTTATGAGATATAATTAGGTAAGAATGAAGAGAACCTACTATAAAACTGGCTCGTTACTCGGTCTAAACGTTCAGCAACGCGTTTCTTCGACAAAAAATGAACGAAACCTAATCCTTCTCTCTTCCCTCTGCCATCATTTATGAATCCTATTGCCATGGAGAAAAAGATCGAATGTTTAACTTTATCTTCACATAACAATTTATAAGTTTTTATTCTATTAATTTTTTTTAAATTACAATTAATTAAGGATTTTAGTTCAGATAAAAAAGTCAATGGCACGAGCGGGATTCGAACCCACGATCATCGGCTAGATACGCCGCTGCTCTACCACTTGAGCTATCGTGTCCTCGATCCACTCGGACACCAACTTCCTATCTCAACTCCACCTTTTGAGTGGATCGAGGTCACGATATCTCAAGTGGTAGAGCAGCGGCGTATCTAGCCGAAGATCGTGGGTTCGAATTCCGCTCGTGCCATTGACTTTTTTTCTCAAGTAAAAACCTTAATTAATTGTAATATATTAATTGGTCAAGCGGACCACGAAATTAGTGAATTTAATTTTTTTGATTTTAGACATTTCGATTTGAATAATTAAGTAGAAATTAATGTGGTTCAAAACAAACACATGACAAACCCAAAATGATTGTTTTCCTCTTTCCTTTTTATTAAGTTGTTTTTCCGTTTTGTTTTCTGGAAGCGGCGAGGATAATGAGCTCAACAACCTTTTTTCCTTTTTATTCTTTTTATTTGTCCGTAATACATTTCGGAGTTATCTTCCTGGCTCGCCTCTTCGTGGCTACATCAATTAAATAAAATTTATTTATATTACATTAATAATAACAAGCTCAGGTGGTAGAGCAGCGGCGTATCTAGCCGAAGGTGGTGGGTTCGAATCCCTCTCGTGCCATTAACTTTTTTTCATCTCAACTAAAAACCTTAATTAATTGTCTTGTATTAATCATGAAACTTATTCAAATCTACAGATCTATACAAGTCATTATGTCTAGAGTCGGACATAGTATTAACTTTGGTTTGAAGCCATTATTGGATCATCGACAATTAAATGGATTATCGACTGTGTTAAAAACAACTTTAATAAATGTGTGGTGATTAGTGACCGTTAATCGATATTTATTTAGAAATAGTGAGATGAGGTCTGGTGTGATGTAGGTTTCAGAAAAACATTTTCTTTATCGTGCCAACGTTTCGATCTTTATTGAGATCATCTTCAGGGTCTGGGATTTACAAACAATGTTTACATATAACAATTACATTTTGGATGTGGAAAAATGAATTTATACAATGCAAAATATATTTTTTATATATTCAATCAAATCTACATAGACACATCTACGAAATACAGTCATACCACAACTACCTTTCACATTACCCTTCCTCTCTATATACGTAGATGATATATTGACAGCAGTTCCCACAGATCAAATTCAAACTATATTAGATACATTTAATAGCTTTCACCCACGCCTACATTTTACACATGAAATCGAAAACAACAAAAAATACCATTTTTAGATACACTCGTAATAAAACAACCAGATGGCACATTAATCACAGATTGGTATCAAAAACGAAGAAACACAGATCGCTACCTCAACTTTACATCTCACCATCCCCTTCATACAATAATAAACACGGCCAAAGGGTTACTTCACAGAATGGTTACCTTAAGCCATGAATCCTTCCACCACAAGAACATAAATCATAAGGTGGGGTTGCGATAGGAAGTTGATGTCCGAGTGGATCGAGTTCACGATAGCTCAGGTGGTAGAGCAGCGGCGTATCTAGCCGAAGGTGGTGGGTTCGAATCCCTCTCGTGCCATTAACTTTTTTTCATCTCAACTANATCCTTCCTAACAATCTCTACCCTAAACACATAATTAACAGATTAATCAACAATTACAACTCAACACTAACTAACACTATCCACTATTACTAATAATACTACATTAAGTCTATCGATTACAAACAAATCAGCATACATTTCCATACCATTTATCCAAGGCCTATCACATGAATTAAACACATTTCTCTTGTCCGATAACTTCAAAATAGCTTTCAAAAATTATAAAACAATTCAAACACTTTTTTCCAACATTAAAGATCCCACACCAATAACAAATAAATCTGACGTAATCTACAAAATCAACTGTTTAAACTGTCCGGCAACTTACATCGGTCTTACATCCCAACATCGGGACAAGAGTATAAAGCAACATATCTATGATTGCAAAAAACCCAAGCAAAATCCTACAGCACTCGCTACCCACCA